GCACGGGCTCTCCATGAGCTCATGGAAGTGGCCCGGAGGGTCCGGCTGGGGTTGCGTGCCCGCGTGATCAGCCATGTCAACCAACGTGGAGTTGGCCGGTCGGCGGCGATTCTTTATGTTCTTTTTCCCCCTCTATGTGGAGGGGCCCTCGTCCTAATCCTGGCGCTTGGCTTTGCCCTTGCCCCGGCCTTCGTCGTAGCGCTGCGGGGGCGGCATTTGTTGGGGGGTTTTGGACAGAGGTCCGCGGTCCCGGGCCATCAGGGCTGGGACTCTGGTCGCTGCTGCGTGTGCCTCGACTCGGTCTGAACCGTGCATACATAGGCGGTGCGGAGCGGTCATTAGGTCAGGACATGGTGCCAATGTGGCCTCCTGTGCCACGCTTGACGATTGTAGCGGTGATCGGGTGGAGCATCCCGTCTGCTGCGTTCCCGATCCCCTGACGGAGAGCGAGACCGCAAGTTGGCGTCGCGATATGGAACACTCAGCTTGTTGAACGGCGGCGGTCTCCACTAGTGCCCGGAGGTTTTGGTGATCGCCTGTTCATGAGGGTCGTTTGGCTCAGACAGGCCGCGCAGAAGCATTGCCGCGGCGGCGATGTTCTGGTTTGCCCAAGCGAACTGCGGGGGATCGTTCCCCTGTCCATGGTGTCGTGCTAGACCCGATGGGCGCGACCCCGAGCGCCGCTCGCCGGTCTACGCGCATGGGGCACAACGAGGTGCGCCGAGCGTGGTGGCGTAGTCGGTGGTTGATGCAGCCACCGTTGTCGTAGTTCCTCCCCGTGCTCAAGTGTGAGCTCGGGGGTCTCTGCGTGAGGGTTCGGAGAGGTGTGAGTCCGTGAGGACTCCGCTTCTGCCGGTGGGTGTCCCGGAGCATCCGCCATGGTGCACTCCCAGGACGGACGGTGGCTAGGCGCCATGTCGTCGATGCTGGAGCCATCACTCTCGCCATCGTCGTCCATGAGGTCGAGGAAATAGGTGGGAGCATAGCTCGCCATTCCCATGAATTCGGATGGGAGAGGGGGCGGTGCTGGCATCCTTTGGAGCCCCCGGGCGTATGCGTCCGTGGAAGACGCGAGGTCATAGGGGAACTGGTCGTACGGCGGTTGCGTCGGGGACAATAGGGTTCCGTCGGGTAATCGGCGGAAGATAGAGAATAGTAAGTAAATAACAGCGTGTACATTACTCACAGCGGGGTTTGAGCAGAGAGTTTACTTGGAAAGAAGCGCAGATGCCACGTCGTCGAAGTCGTGCATCCCGGAGTTGATGGAGGGCGCCCCTCCGATGGATGCCAGGACGTGTGCCTCCTTGCGGAGGTGCAGTTCGCTGAGCCGGTCGACGACGAAGTCCAGGCTTCCGGAGAGGAAGGCCTGAGATGGCTCGAAGACGGGTGGGATCCACATCCTAGCCGGTGAGAGTGCGGGAAAATCCAGCGAGTCGACGCGAATCGTATCGCCCGAGCCCTCCACGGCGAGGGTGGCAGGAAAGTGTGCCATTTGATGACCAAAAAGTGTTGAACGTACAGCGTCTTCCCCACGGACGACACCAACTGTCAGTGCAGAATGTGACCAACTAGTAAATATTTGTAGTTTTGCCGTACGTTGTGATCGGATGTGGCCTAGCACTCAATGACACATGGTTTATACTGGTTCAGGCAACCTGCCCTACGTCTAGTTTGGGTCGGTCAGTGACTTTATTCCTGAGCCCAGGTTCTCGAAGTGTGCAGTGGGGTTACAAACGAGAAGGAGAAAGATGGGGTGTACAAGAGGTCTGGTCGGAAGGGCCAGGAGCGACAGGAGATATGCTATGAGCTAAGTGTTCAAGTGTGTGCTTGAGCTCCGAACCTGGCGGTTCTGTGGTTGTGGACTAGAGAACTTGGTTGACCTAATGAATCTGAGAAAGGCTCTTCAAAGGGGGCCTTAGAGAGAAAAAAGCCTCTCCTTTGTTGGAGGGAGCGCATCCCCTTTTATAGATAAAGGGGATGGCTTTACAAGTGAGGGTACGTATGCTACTGAGCGTCGCTGCCCATGCCGACAGGTACAAGATAATGGTAGGCGCCTACAACACTGTTGATGTTACTGTAGAATGTCAGATGCATGTGTGAGGTTGTGTTTGCCTTCTTCAGGAATGGTGGATGTCGGTACCTGTAGATACTGTTTGATGCCTAGAGGCATGTGAGGAGTGTCACCACGTTCACCCCATATGGTAAATCCCGGCTCTCACAACACTATCGGTACTTGGAGGCACATGGGGCTTTACCGTCCGGGAGTTTTAACGGCACCTACAATACTGTAGAGGAAAATGTCGGTGCCTACAATACTGTTTGTGTCAGGGTGGTTGCAGAGTACTGTTCCTGTAGGTGTACAGGGTATGGTCCCTGGTATCGTGGTTTGACTTACGCGCCCTGGCTTTCTTTCTTCGTTTGCCCCTCGCTCCTTCCGAGCGGGCGTCCCCGGTCGGATGGCCCCAGTTGGTTCTGGCCACGCCAGTCGAAGAAGAGCGGTGAGCAGGGTTTTTGTGGCCCCCGGTCAGCGATGCGGGGTCGGAGTCGGAAGTAGCGCTTTGGGCCCGGCCTTCCGATTGGAGAGGCCGTCCGGAGGCGGCTGGAGCCTGGAGCGAGTGCTCCGGTCGGAGAGGTGGGGCCGAAGTAGTTGACGAGCGGGCGTTGTTCCTCTTCGTCCAGACCTTCCGGTCGGTGACTGGACCGCCCTTCCGGCCCGTTGTTTTAGACTCTTGGGCTGGCCCATGAGTTGTGTGCTGCCTGTTTGAGCCGAGCCCCGGCGTGGAAGCCGGTCCCTAAAGGACCCCGGGTTTATGAACCCGACAGGTGTACTTAGAGGAGTCATTTAAATTTTGTCGTAAGTAAGACTCATGATTTTGATGAGCATTTTTTAGAATGCACCAATATCAGTAAAATTATATTCTCTTTTTTAAAACCATATTGAATTATGTTTTGATACTACATTTATTGATATTGTAGACGTCGATATATCAAAAAAGACGAACAAGTTGTTTTAGAAGAAATTGTTTCATAATGAAAAAGTTGTTTTAGAATAAAAAATCAAAATGGGATAATTTTTTGCTCCAAAAAATTGTTTAGGTGGTATGAAATATTTCTCATAATACATGTATAAATAAATAAATGTTGAAAGAAAACAGTTAAGTAGGGAGGTGGGAGCGCGAATTGAGAAAAAAATCAAGGGAGTAATAGGGGCCTATGCAATCAACGCGTGTTCGAGGTGTAAAAAGATGTCCCACAATGGTGAAAGAGACACACAAAGGAAAGAATAATTTATGAAAGGAAGCTCCCCTCTAGAAAATAGACCTTCCATTTCAAAAAAAAAATTGTCATTCTACTCCCTCCATCCCAAATAATAAGTCGCTTTGGTTTTTTTGGTACATCTATTTTACTATGCATCTAGATAAATAATATGTCTAGATACATAACAAAGTGGATGAATAAAAAAAAGTCAAAGCGACTTATAATTTAGAACGAAGGGAGTAGCTACGAATATAGACAAACATTTGTTCAGGTTCAAAGCTACAATAACAATCTTTTGGAGAAAGGATGAGGTCGGGTAAGTTGTCATATGCCACTTATGTATGACTGTTAGATTCTAAATCGGATTGGAGCTGATTATGTAGATTTTATTGGCTATGATCGGAGAATCATACCTCGTAGTTATAAGCAACCCATGGTTTGCCCCATATAAAATTTGCGGTATGATCTACCTCTTGCCACGTTGTAGGGATCAATCTTCATGGTCGGTCACCATCCCGTAGCACGCGTCTGATGGCAAAGTGTGCCTCTCGAGCCCCTAATGCCACCCGTCAAGCGCAGAAGGTGCTTGTGTCCAAGTAGGAGCCCACTGCCTCACAGCTGTCGAATATCTAGGTAGTGGCTGACTTCTAGCAAGCATTCCAAGGCCCGCTCGACTCCGCAAAAAGGGACGCACTTCGAGCGCTTATGAAGTTCGACGTGGCGAGGTTCGAGTGTATGTTCGAGGAGCCTTGCTAGTCTCGTTGGCACCTGTCCAATTGGTCGCTCAACTTTCATGTAATGTAATAAGTTAGGTTTATTTGGGTCGCGTTGGCTTCCATCCTTCCACGGTAATCTACAGATTATTTGGAGATATTGTAACCAGTCAAATTCTGTTTCTGCTTAATGAAATACATGTCACAAGGGCATGCTCGCGAAAAAAAAAATCTTCAAGCATCGTGCATGGCAAGTGCTGTCGCCTTCATATAGAGAATGGACCCATCGTTGCAAAATCAGTGAGGAACAGACTACCACAATTTAGCACAGCAGTCAATGACAACAAGAGATGAGGTAACAATTCCGCAATTACGGCCTTGTTTAGATACCCTCAAAATTCCAAGTTTTTTCACTCTCTCTCAATCACATCAATTTTTAGCCGTTTGCATGGAGCATTAAATGTAGGTAAAAAAAAAACTAATTGCACAGTTTAGTTGGAAATCACGAGATGAATCTTTTAAGCTTACTTGGTCTACGATTGGACAATATTTACCAAATAAGACGAAAATACTACTATTCATCAGTTTGAAATTTTTTTCAATATAAACAAGGCCTACAGCACCAACACACTGCAGCTTATGAGCTGGCGTCCATAACCGAAATGGTTTCTGCCATCAGAAAAGCACACCAACAATACCCAGCGCGTACGTGCACGCGCGCGGCGGCAACCGTTGCCTGCCTGTGTCGTGGCTGGAGTGGTGGTCGGTGCTGTCGCAGCAGGCGTCACCCCCCCCCCCCCCCCCCCCGCGCGCGCCCACGCGTCGGTCTCCTGGAACCCGCCCGCGTCGCCCGGCGTTCCCGGGTGGCCGCTCGCCCCCCGCTGCGGCCTCCGGGGCCCTCCCTTCCCGCGCCCTTCCTATTTCTGGATCGCTACTACTAGGGGCCGCGAACCCCTAGCCCTTAGTCTCTCCCCTCCTCGCCCCCCTCGTCCGCTGTCCCGTCCCGGTCTCCCCTCCTCCCCCGGACGCATGCATGTCGACATGTCCCACCGCGTCCGGCTCGCCGCGGCGGCAGCGGCGCTCGTCGTGGTCGCCGCGCTGGCGCTCTTCCCCGGCGCGGCGGCGGCGTGGCAGCTGACCAAGAACGGCACCGTGGTCAGCTACGACCGCCGCTCGCTCATGATCGACGGCCGCCGGGAGATCTTCTTCTCCGGGTCCATCCACTACCCGCGGAGCCCGCCGGTCATGTGGCCGGAGCTCATCGCCAAGGCCAAGGAGGGCGGGCTCAACACCATCGAGACCTACGTCTTCTGGAACATCCACGAGCCCGAGAAGGGACAGGTAATGACGTACCACATCTCTCGATTCGATCGATGAACGGATCGATGCGCGTGTGAAACCGGAGAGTGAGAATGAAAGTTCACGGCGATCGACACGCCCGATCCATTAATCCATCCATCAATTGGTCAATGCACACACAAATGCGTTCCTTAATTCCCTTGCAGTTCAATTTCGAGGGGCGGTACGACATGGTGAGGTTCTTCAAGCTGATCCAGGAGCACAACATGTTCGCCATGGTCCGGCTCGGGCCCTTCATCCAGGCAGAATGGAACCATGGGTTTGTTCGTGTGCCTTCCACATCTCTTCCTTCAGTTGCTCTAATTACCATTTCATATGATCCTCCAAAGTCTTTCCATTTTCTTCTGTTCTGACTCACCTTTTTCATTTCTTTTTGTTCTGTACCAAATCTTTGTCAGAGGGCTGCCCTACTGGCTAAGGGAGATCCCTGACATTGTGTTCCGGACGAACAACGAGCCATACAAGGTGATCACTGTCTATCTGATGACCAAAACAACTAATTGTGCAAGCAGCAAATATCAGCCATGATGATATTCCAGGAGAATAAATGGAAGGATGTTTTGCGATGCGTAGAAGTCACCAGATGTTGACAATCTGTGACATGCTGATTTCGTTTGCCGCAGATGCACATGGAGACGTTTGTGAAGATCATAATAAAAAGGCTCAAGGATGCAAACCTTTTCGCGTCACAAGGAGGCCCCATCATTCTAGCACAGGTTAGACAGTCAAAACTGTTGCAGCAGCCTCTCCCTCTTGAGATTTATTTTTTTGGCCTGAATGAACAATGCTCTGGGCCTCTGGCTATATATAACCCTTTCTGTCTTTTATTTTGGCCTGTGCTAACTCTCTGGTTATACATGCTCCTTTCTGACGAAATGTATGTGCCCAAATCTGCCTGCCAGATTGAGAATGAGTATCAGCATTTGGAAGCGGCGTTCAAAGATGAGGGCACCAAGTACATCAACTGGGCGGCACAGATGGCCATCGGCACCAACATCGGCATACCATGGATCATGTGCAAGCAGACCAAAGCTCCTGGTGATGTGGTAACTTTCATTTTTTTGTTTTACCGAATATATATGTTGTGCTTCCCTCTTCAACAAACTGGGGCTAATCCTTATAGGCTTAGGATTCAGATGACATTTTAGAGTTTGAAATAGCAAAGTTCAGTAGTTGTTACTCTCAAAACAAATAAAATGATAGCCTTTTGAGCTAAATTTGTACTACTTTTTTTATAAGGAAATTTGTACTGCTTTAAAAAGACACCAGCAATAACACGCTGGGCTTTTTTCTTCTTCTTCTTGTGTAGATTCCTACCTGCAATGGGAGAAACTGTGGAGATACATGGCCAGGTCCAATGAACAAGAGCTTGCCCCTCTTGTGGACTGAGAACTGGACTGCACAGTAAGTTCTTCCTCCAGCAATAGTAATCCACTAACTTACCTTTGTTAAACAAGTTCGATCACTATCCATAGAAACCTTCATCGTAAATCAATCATTTTCTTGGTGTATGTAAACAGGTACAGAGTCTTCGGTGACCCACCATCCCAGCGTTCTGCTGAGGACATTGCGTTCGCCGTGGCACGCTTCTTCTCCGTGGGGGGTACTATGACAAACTATTACATGGTACTCAACTGTAGTATGAAAAGAAATAACAAAAAGAAAGCTCCATTACACTTTTAGGATGAGACTGTTGTTGCTGAACCGCACGGTTACATTACATATGCTTGTTTGAAACTCTGAACAGTACCATGGTGGAACAAACTTTGGAAGGACATCTGCTGCCTTTGTGATGCCAAAATACTACGACGAGGCACCTCTCGATGAATTCGGTGAGATGTCGACGGCATTGACAGTAGCCCATTGCAATCGATCAGTTTGCTAGTTGTGAACTCTGAAGAGTTACATTCCATCTGTTGTTGATGGACTATGTTCAGGCCTGTACAAGGAGCCTAAGTGGGGCCATCTGAGGGACCTGCACCTGGCGCTGAAGCTGTGCAAGAAGGCCCTGCTCTGGGGTACGCCGTCGACGGAGAAGCTGGGCAAGCAATTCGAGGCGAGGGTGTTCGAGATACCGGATCAGAAGGTGTGCGTGGCGTTCCTCTCCAACCACAACACCAAGGACGACGTGACGCTGACGTTCCGGGGCCAGTCCTACTTCGTGCCGCGCCACTCCATCAGCATCCTCGCCGACTGCAAGACCGTCGTCTTCGGCACCCAGCACGTGAACGCGCAGCACAACCAGAGGACGTTCCACTTCGCGGACCAGACGACGCAGAACAACGTGTGGCAGATGTTCGACGAGGAGAAGGTGCCCAAGTACAAGCAGGCCAAGATCAGGACGCGCAAGGCCGGCGATCTCTACAACCTCACCAAGGACAAGACCGACTACGTCTGGTACACCTCCAGGTGCGCGGTTGCTTTGCTTGCTTGCTTCAAAGCTTCAAGTTGGTCGGTGGTGTCATGTATGTGTGGGTGTTCTGAGTGTCGATCGATGACGCATGCCTGCCTGCCTGCCTGTGTGTGCAACAGCTTCAAGTTGGAGCCAGACGACATGCCGATCCGCCGTGACATCAAGACGGTGCTCGAGGTCAACAGCCATGGGCACGCCAGCGTGGCGTTTGTCAACAACAAATTCGTAGGTAATACAACTTGGTTTCCAGACTGCAGCAATAGTTGAGGAGCTAGAAATAAGCTGAATGAACTCCACTGTATGTATATATTCATGCGTGTGCAGGATGTGGGCACGGGACCAAGATGAACAAGGCGTTCACGCTGGAGAAGCCCATGGAGCTGAAAAAGGGCGTGAACCACGTCGCCGTCTTGGCATCGTCGATGGGAATGATGGTGGGTGTGGACCGTAGGTTCATCTGTGCATATGCCGCATCGGAGAGCTTTGTTCTTGGTTGAGATCAGGCTCCGATCCGGTTGGAAACGATTGTTTCAGGACAGTGGCGCTTACCTGGAGCACCGTCTGGCCGGCGTCGACAGGGTGCAGATCACGGGCCTCAACGCGGGCACGCTGGACCTGACGAATAACGGCTGGGGCCACATCGTCGGCCTCGTCGGCGAGCAGAAGGAGATCTACACCGAGAAGGGCATGGCCAGCGTCACCTGGAAGCCGGCCGTCAACGACAAGCCTCTCACCTGGTACAAGGTAAACTAGCTCATCACGACAATCGTTGGTGTGTGTGTGCGCTGTGCGTTTCTCTGTTAATACAACTTGCTGTGTGTGTTTTTGTCAGAGGCACTTCGACATGCCGTCGGGAGAGGACCCGATCGTGCTTGATATGAGCACGATGGGCAAGGGCATGATGTATGTCAATGGCCAGGGCATCGGCCGCTACTGGATCTCCTACAAGCACGCCCTCGGCCGGCCATCGCAGCAGCTGTAATTTGCTCTAAGCTCTTAGTAATTTGCTGTAGTTCTTAGTTTTTGTCGGCTATATATAAGCATATATGCTGATACGCATGCGTGCAGGTACCACATTCCCCGGTCCTTCTTGCGGCAGAAGGACAACGTGCTGGTGCTGTTCGAGGAGGAGTTCGGACGGCCGGACGCGATCATGATCCTGACGGTGAAGCGCGACAACATCTGCACCTACATCTCGGAGCGGAACCCGGCGCACATCAAGTCGTGGGAGCGCAAGGACAGCCAGATCACGGCGAACTCCGACGACCTCAAGGCCCGGGCGACGCTGACGTGCCCGCCCAAGAAGCTCATCCAGCAGGTGGTGTTCGCGAGCTACGGCAACCCCATGGGCATCTGCGGCAACTACACCATCGGCAGCTGCCACACGCCGAGCGCCAAGGAGGTGGTGGAGAAGTCATGCCTCGGCAAGCGCATCTGCACGCTGCCCGTGTCCGCCGACGTCTACGGCGGCGACGTCAACTGCCCCGGCACCACCGCCACGCTTGCCGTGCAGGCCAAGTGCTCCAAGAGGTCGCCCAGCGCCTCCGCGCAGTAACTCAGTCGTCGTCGGCTTCGGCTAGCTAGCTCCCGTCGTCTTTCCTTCTGCGGTCTGGATGCTGCTGTAGCAGTAGCATGGGACGATGATCTGACCGGAGACGTCGTCACGTCGATCGGAACATCAATTCGTGGCTGGGTGGGGAACAGATGGTCGGTTCACACTGTAAGCTTTATACATACATATGTTATCTCTATCTAGGAATATATATAGATTGTTAATTTGATGAGCAAACATGTATACAGATGTCGATTTGGTGTTTAATAATAGCAATAATATATAGCCTAGTGGACTAACTGACAGATGTATTATTGGTGTACCTGACATAATTCATTACTTCTGAATCTGAGTTTATCTCTACCTAATACTCTTTTTTTATCAGTCATGTGTGAGAATAACTCTGTTTTATTTTTTTTCTATTGGTTTTTTGTTTCCCGATTTTTTCCACCGCCAGCTTTTTTTGTTTCCTGATATTTTTTTTCCACCACTAGGTTTGGGTTTTTGTTTTCTGATTTAAGAGATTTTTTTTTTCATCAGCAGGTTAAGGGAATATGCTCACACAAAACAAATGCGAAAACATAGTAAAATGGAGAACAACATGAGCCTTTGGACAATTGACAATTGTTTCACCACCAAGTTATTATTGCATCTTTTTTATTAGATTAAAAACAAAATTTGTTATATTAAAACTAGGTTCAGTTCCTTTAAAAAAACCTAGGTTCTATGAATTGAGATGAGGAATTTGTTGTCCAATTCGGTCTAAATAAATACACTCCAGGTTATACCCATACACTAGTGCAATCCACGACGACGGTCGTCACATAAAAGTTGAAATAGGTCTCATTATAAATATTAGTGAACAAACCAGTCCCTAACACATCTACAATGAACTTCTCACCGACTTAGATTAAACTTTAGAATTACAGGCTTTTATGAATTCTCAAAGGAAGTCACGGAACTTGATATTTAACTATATCAACGCATGGATATTATGGGAGTTAAAGTTATGATTATGTTCGTGCTTTGCAATAGAAGAAAAACAAACTTAAGAATATGTTTCTATTTTACACAAACTTAATAGGACATTATAATATCATTGCCAACATTGACTTAAAGTAAAGATTCATATTCATTATTAATAACGCATATGGAAAATTAATTAGTAAATTTTATCTCTTAAAGTTTATAGAAATGGAAAGCATAACACATATGTAGGGGGCGAGCATCTCCTTTTTGGTTTTTCATGGCATTTCTTTCTCTTATTGCAACGCACTGCTATGTTTGCTTCGCCCGTCATCATTTCTCACTGCTAGTTTCTCACTGCACTCTAGTATGATAGTATCCCCTGTTCATCTTTCACTCCTGCCATTCACACATTTCTAATCCAAATTCAATACAAGATCATGTTTCCGATCCAAAACTAGCACAATCCAAATCTAACGCAAGACCACGTTTCAAATAGCACGTATCTAGCCATGGAACAGAGTATGGTTCCAAAATGCGTTAGAATATATGAGTATATGACATAATTGTTGTATAAATCTTAGAGCCAGAAGTCATTCAAGCGACTGTGTTAAAACGTATGACACAATTGTTGTATCAATCTCAGAGCCACTAGGCATTCAAGTTTCTGTGTAATAAGTTGTATGTTCCGTTATAATACACAAATATATTTGCTAGTGATTCAAGAAAAGCTAAAAAACAATATTTGAAAAGGAGAAGCAGAGAAACGCCAAAAAAAACCCTGGGAAGGTCATGTTCTCACGTGCGTATATGCTGTGTTACGTGATTAATAACGAACATGGCACACTAGAGCGAGGGTGTTAGTGTTATACAATCGACCCTGCCCTCTCTAACATAACCTTTTGCGTATTCGAGAAAAAAAAAACTAAAAATCAATTAAAGACATTTGCTAGTGATGATTCAGGAAAAGCTAAAAACAATATTTGAAACGAGAAGCACAGAAACGCCAAAAAAAAAACCACGGCAACGTTACGTTCTCTCGCGTGTATACGCCGGTCGCTTGATTAATTGATTGAAATAAAAATAAATAAAAATCAATTAAAACAAAAGAGGAGGGGGCGTTGCGAGAATCGAACTCGCGACCTCTCGCACCCAAAGCGTGAATCATACCACTAGACCAAACGCCCTGAGCGTTAATGTTGTCAATTGAATTTTATTTATGTTTTAATTAGTCAGCAAGACCACAACTGCTTGCTGTTTATTTCTTCGATACTCCTATAGTCCTATGCGAACCTTTTAGGACCTGCGCCCTGCAACTTTGGACCCCACCTATTTGTGCGCGAGGATTAGCTGCAACTGCGAGTGCTTGATGCAAATGGCATGGCGTGGTATTGGGTCGTAATTCATGGATTTGATCCGCAATCAATCTATCTTGTGTGTTTTTAATTTTCTAATCGCGGATAATCTGTACACTACGAACAGTCTTCATATTTGAAGGGAACTCAGGGGAAAAAATCACGTAGTCTACTTCCTCTATTTGTTTACATGTCATATTAAGCTAAGTCAAACATTATTATCTTTAGCTATTCATTTCAAAAAGTTCTTATTATTCTACAACATATGAATTATATATTATGAAAGTATTTTTCATAATAAAACTAAAAACATAAATTTTATGCCATGAACCTACATAATTTTTTTTAAAAAAATCAATGAATAAAGATACGAATGTTTAACTTAGGACAAACTTAATACGACATATAAATAAAAATAGAGGGAGTATTTGTCTATAAAAAGTTTTATTATTATTATTATGTGGTATCATATCTTACATTCTATTTTCTATTTCTCCTCATATACACTTATTATCTGGGTCCACTATCGCTTGGTCTTTTGCGCTCATCTTGTTGTTTGCATGAGATTCAAACTCTCCCCTCTCTTCTTGGTTCTCTTCTCCGCATCAACAAAATTGTTGACTAGCGTAGCTATAAAACAAATACTATACTTGCTCTTAGTGGTCGATGGCATAGGAACTGGTTGACGTTATCTCAGAATATATTAAATTATGTGACACATCTGTTAGGCTCAGTTTGTGGGACCGTGGAATCCAACTTCTTAATTGAAAAATCCAAGCTCGTCAGCTTGTCAAATTCTAATACATTCTAGTTTTTCTAGATACGTAACTTCTGCTACTTATATATTATATCTAGAACATAGTAAAACCTATTTATCTACAAAAGTCAAAACACCTTACAATTTAGAATAGGGGAACAGTATATAGACATTTGGATCGTAGCTAAATTATGGACTTTAGATTCCAAAATCTCTAGGGATTCAAGCAGTCCTTTGGTTTCTTTGTGTATTTGTTAAGAGTTTGGTACCAACAAGGCTACGCAGGCATACAATGTAAAATCTTTATACCTTTTATTCTTTTCTTTTTTCTCAGAGACACATGAGAGTTATGTAGTTTTTTACCGGGATCTTTTGTATAGACCATGATTTTGTTACCTGAAAGAAAATGACACCCAAGGATGATTTTTTTGTGGTTTTCCCGTGACGTGTCTAAGCACGTTTTTCACTAAGCTTAGGCTTGGTAGGATCACCATGATCCTTACGAGACATAAGAATCACGAACAAAGATTGTAATATATTAATTACACAAAAACAATTCGTGAGTAGATGAAGCTTAACACTATGGATGGTTTCTTTGTGCTTAGACTTAACACATTTGTTATATAACCTTTCGTGAGCATTTTAGAAGGATGGATAATAAATTCGAATTCCCATTAGTACAGATAAAAGGGTAGCATAGCACACATAGGCCAGTTCCAGGAATACAAATTCCTTCACGCACTGTTTTTACAAGTTCAGCCTGACAACTCACAAGGATTCCTTGAATACCCATTACAAATATAACAAACCACAGATTCAACGGCTGTAGGATTCTGAATTATCATAATGACACTTGTAGGAACAAACATTTTGATCCGCCACATTTACGCTTGGAATAACCGAGTTCTGGCCTTTGCAAGGGAGTTGAAGGTCATTGTCAAGTATTAGTACATAGATCCCATAAAAGCACAGTAGTAGTCAAAACACACAATACTTGTTTTTTGAAAGGAGAATATCTCTGCTTTTGAGAAAGCTAGTTAAAAGTCTTACAAGCTGAGGAAACTAGCTACATTACAGTACAAAACGAGTATTTAGCCTCAACCAACAACAAAGGATAGCTAGCCCTGACCAAGAACAAAAGGACTATTTTGCTCCTTTAAAGCCTCCTTCTTGCCCATCCATTCAATTAAGTGGTGAGCCACAATCTTCATATTGGTTTTGTTTTCCTCCTTGAGCAACTCTATCCATATTTGCATGAAATTGATATACTAGCGTAAATCACAACATCTAGATTGCTAATAGACTTCTTCTCAATCGCCATTTCGTCACGGTTCTTCCATATTGCCCATGTCATACCTACAAAGCAAAAGAAAACCAATCTTTGAGGGACTCTGAGCCTATCTTTAGAGACCGGGGATAGGCAAATGTTGGCTAACTTTAGGGGACCCAAATTCAAGATTTCCATCATGCCAATGGAAGAAGGAAAGGAAACGGATCCATCTTGACACTAAACATGTCAAATTACCGATTAAAAGGAAATCACGAATCATGTGGTTCAATACTATAAGCAATTGTTTGGAGGCTCTGAAACAAGGAATATTCAACTTACATAGTCATTTGGGAAGGATTTAAAAAACTTAAGCAAGATGACACTGATTTGATTAAATCTTCTTAGGAAGAGGAGATTAAGCAAGTTGTCTTTGGAATGAAAAGTGATGTTGCACTAGGTCCTAATGGCTATGGAGCCAGCCTTTTAGTGAAAGTTTTAGGATTTGATTAAGCAGGAATATCGATGTATGTTTGACTTTTACAAAGGAAGTTCGATAAATTATGAAATATATTTTCACGGTATACCTATTGAAGTCATAAAATTGCATCTTTTTTTTTTTGACAGAGGTAGTATATTTCATCAGAAACACAAAAGG